ACGATTTTAATCTAGAATGTTTGTTCTTTGCGTGCACGCCGAACGCGTGCCAGAACCCGGTTGGAAAACTTAGTACCATCTGTCTTTCTTTCGCCGGTGAGGGTGCACTACAGCTCAGGGCGGGTAAGAGATCTCAGACCCGGATACGCGGACTAAACCGCAAAGACGAATGGTGTATAGCTCGCACGACTCATCCAACCCGTCTACGCGTACATTGCAAGGACGCACTAGTTACGCACGATGACCCGCGCACATGACAGCAGAGGAATACAAAGCTGCGTCATCGAAGCATTCACAGCCACTAAAGAGGCCTCGGAAGAGAGGTGAAATATTTGAACAAAGGTAAAAAAGATAACACCCAGAGAGCTACATAAAAATCAAGGCGCTGACTCATGTACAAAGGGATGCCTGCTGGGGGAATCCATGTTTGTGCACAAACCTAAGGAAAACACGAGATTTCGTACGGCTTTTGTACGGCTATTTGTATATCTGCGTGTGTATTCTAAAACGACATGTCAACAAAGCCGATACGCAAACGACCTGAACACACAATCAGTAAATGCGCGTTTCATTTTGCTCTGCGCCAAAAAACACATAAGCGTGCACGTATACGCTGCACATGAATTTTGCCGTGATGTTTTTTTTAATCGCGTTTTATCTGCACCCGATGCGCACAACAGCCACCTCTCCACAGCCGTCAACTCAATCAACGCTGACTGAATTAAGGGAATTATTTTTTCCAAATTTAGTTTAACTTATTCATCTAAAGACAGTCATCGAAAGACATGCACACAAAATCGAACAACCTTGCTCGAATATTAGAGACACATTCGTTTTAAACTTATCAGCTATAGATGTAAATAAACATGCGCCATTGCTTTGTACGTGTGCGCCTTATTCAAAAGACGCACTGACATTCGCGTATGTTGTACTTGCGCGTTGCATTTAGAATACATAATTTGATATCCATCCTATCTGATTATACAAGCACGCACATGGATTCAAAATGTCTGCGCCCACAAAGACGTCAAATTTTCTCCCAGCGGAGAATGAGAATTCAGCGCTCTACTTTTTATATAAAGCTCTATGGTTTAACCATAGACATAGTTTGTTTGATTATTTTAACAGGCAACGTAGTATTCGCGCGCGTACGCGACGCCTGCGACACGTACACGGTCGTGAGACTTGCAGTTTTTCAGCTGATGTATGGCACTAGCACGCCGCAGTACTTTTGACTTGATGCGCGTATACGCGCAGCGCGTTCGTCAATTATAATGGGCCTCAAGTTTTCCTTGTAGGAATCCATCTTTTTCGCCGAAAAAAGTATTCTGAAAATGTTTCACAGCTGAGCAGATTTCTATTTTTGTAATATAAACCAACTGAAAACTCCCTCGTATTATTGAGAAAAACCTGCTACGTGGGTTTTACGTGGAAAAGACAACAGGAAGTTGAATTGAATATCAGCGGCCATCTTGGAAAGACCAGGGCGAACTGGTGACAGACTGCTGTAACCCTTGGAGGGGCCTGGGTAGAAATAAAGCACAAATATGTTAGAATTTGAAAATAGTTTTCGTTCATTCACTTCTTGAGAAAATTACCTCCGAAAAGGGCTTTGGAATTATTGTCCAATATATATTAACCTGTAGAAATTGAGATATTGACCTGGAAGAGAAATATCGAGCAAAAATGACCTCTCACAAAAGTCTAAAATATCTCACTACCAGTGTAACTGTACTCGAACGCAGATTTAAATTTACGAAAGTATTTTACGTAGTCTTCAGGTAATAAAAATTAGAGAACGGAACAGGTTTAAGAGTCTACAATTTTTGTGGAAGTGAATCTAAATTAAAAATCAAAAATACTAAAGATTCTAAAGTCTAATGTAACTTTTGCTGAGTGAAAAGAACTTCATTAGGCCAGTCCAGCAGAATCTTGAACCCATGGACTGTATTACAGGTCATTCTTGGCGATGTTATATTCTCCTTCTCATGTTCTGCACTGAAAATAAATGTGCACGAAGAAGAAACGATAAAGGCGGCAGTGAACAGTCGTTGATAAAACTCATTTTTACCCATCACCCAGTGACTCTTTCATTACACGAGCCGTGTGAGAGGTTTTGGACGCTAGCCGCGTGACCTTTTATTTACTTTAGGCTCTATTGTGACGTATTCCTTCGGAAAATTTTGAAAAGCAATTGTTTTCCTCATTTTTTTAAGCACACCTGCTCGCAATAGACCTTTTCCAGAATAACGTCACACTTTACTTACAATGTGCGTTTTGTGAGGTTGATTTGATCTATAAAGCCCACGCAGGAAAGCGAACGTGCAAACAGAAAGTGAAGCCATGATTTTTTTTTCAGATCTATTCACATGTCAATGGTGCGTGCATGTATACGCAAACATATTGTCAAAATAAAGAGTCTTTAAAAAAAGCTTATTAAAGGGATGAAATGACCTCCAAATATCTTTTCTGAATTTTATCTGAAAGAGCAAGTGGCACCATGTTGAATGAAAATGATTGGTCAATACGAAATTCATTTTGAGTGGCCACAAATAATGCGGAAACGGTTTCACCCCAACAGGGCCATATCCCTCTATGCTAGTACGATTTTTACACACTCTCTGGCCTGGAGAGTTATGTAGACACTTTCCTTCCACAGACGTGTGCACAAATTGTATTGCTTGTTTGTACAATTGTCATACAATTCCCAGATACATGAACCGGACGACCTTTTGATCCTTTCCTACGCAGTACACATAGGCCCATACGCAATGCACAGCTAACCCGCGGTTACTGGATTTACTGTACCTCGAGGGGTTCCAGCCGAATAAGTTGCCATAGACGACGACTGTCAACAGAATTAAAAACGTGGGGAAAAAACATCAATTTCTTTTCCTCAATTAAGGAGAGGTTGCCACGGAGAGGCCCCAACTCGCAGTGCATTGTTGAGAAACGATCGAACGAACGGAGCGGTTCGCCAGCTGCCCTGCTTACGGAGAACTTGAATTGTTCCCATCGAAAGTGTTATTGAGTGTAGGGGTTAATTAATCCATATAGTGGCTATTTTGTGAGGCAAAGAATGCCCCGATCAATCAAATGATTTCCTCAAGCTGTCGACTGTCATTCGCTTAAATGCAGCTCCGTTTTTGCCGACCGTAAAATTGAAAACTGGCTTCTCTGTGGCAACCTCTTGATGGTCCTGCTCTCTTGTTAATGAATCGTGTTGATTTACAACTGTCTAATTTTGTCTCTTAGAAATATTTCTACAATTTTGTTTAGGAAAGCACATTGGTGTTTTGATCGTTTGCAAGCTTTTTCAAAAGCTTGGAACAGCTGGTACCCACTCATTGAAAACGTTTGGGTTACAAGCCTTTCAAAGAATCTTCAAAATGCACGGCAGTATAGAAGCCCTTAACAATTTTCACAAATACGGCCTTTATTTCACATGGGATGTCAAAACGAGTTATGCATCATACAAAAATCTCAGCTTGATCCCCCTGATGCTGACGGATACAAACAACATCACTAAAAAAGGCCTTATGACTCATTTAGAAGAAGCAAAACTCAATTTATGGTAAATTCCATTCGCAGTGTATCGTTTTCTTTGTGATCAACAGGTTTAAAACCCTGCAGCCATTCGTGGTGCTCTTTCTAAAAAGACCTCTCAAAATCGAAATCACCAAGGGAATAAGCCAACATATATAGACCTATGCCACGAACGAGCCAACGAATATCCGAATTCTGTTTCAGTCACTGGCGTGGGAGGATAGTAAAAACAAAACTATTTAGAATCCTTTCAAGCCTGGCAGGTGATAAAACTCACAGGCAATGTATCACTTTGTGCAAATTTATTCAACACAAAAGGTATTCAACCTTTCATTTTATTATTAATCAGTCGTAGTCATATAGGCCGTATTAGATATTTCTATTTGCAGCCTTGGTACAGCTTCATGATGACAGTGAATGAATGGAATTGACGCATGAAGCGTGAGATAGCTCTTTGTCCCCTTTACAATTCGAGAAGCCAATTTAAAAAAGAAAGAAAAGAACAAATAATGCGCGGCTGTAATTGCCTTTCGACTTCTTTCAAATGGGTAAATATATTTGATTGAATTATCTGAAACGAGCAGTAATTGCTAATTACACTAGCCAAGAAATAAAAGTCTGTTATTGTGGAGTGTATGTCTAGGCTCGTGCTGGGCCGTGTCTTATCTAAGGGTTTTGCTGGTATGGAATCTAGACATGTGCATTCGTTTATAAAAAAATCTACGCCCTTTTCCTCCTCAAAACTGTTTGCTTTGTAAAATAATTACAGTAGCTGGATTCAGTGATATATACATGTAGCTCTATCTGTTGGAAACCGACGACGTACATAAAAATGATGGTGAAAATGAACAAACATTGTGTCATCAGTTCTGGCGCCAATTCCTTTCATCACAAATGATGCCCAGTCACAGATAATTTTCAAAGTAAAGGAAAAAAAAACAGAGGAAGGACTCTGAAACATTTCAAATTTCCCATGATAAAGTGTTAAAGTCTTGACATTTGCCACGCATTGTCATGGGAACGTTCCAGGAAACGTTCGATTCCTGCCAAATGACGCCAGTGGAAATAAACAATTGGAGTGTACATTCTACAGACACGATACCAGGGTACACCAAAAAAAACTTGCACCTTGCTTCACAAAACGTGCCTTCACGGCCCATTTGTCGTCGCAAAGTGTCATTTGCTAAGGCTAATGACTAAGAGGCTAATGTATAATCGGGCACAGTGTTCCTCTGTGAAGGGAGCACGTAGAAGGTAACGACGGTCGAACGATGATTACCCACCACCAAGGAAACTTTCGCCACTCTTGTTAAGTTGACAAGCTGAGCTGTACGCCAAACAGGCAACGACGCAAGCACCTTTAATCCGGCAGTTCTTCGTCCAAGGGAGCCTCGGTATACGCACTGCGAGCCCAGAGAACAATTGAACTTTAAAATGTTGAACACCACACTTACCTTATAGATCGTTCTCGCTAACCGATGTTTACTCCCTTCGTCGAACCAGGATCTGTACGTTTCCTCGTGGTATCGAGTCCACATCTACCAATTGTGCGCTTTATTTAGCCTCAGCGTGTAAATGCCGGACGACTTATGACGCTTACTTTTGTTCAGGCGCTTCATCTGAGAGTGCGCAAATCTTTACTTAGAAAGTCAACAAATGGCCTCTGCAGTTGTATTGGTTCCACTTCATTGGCCAAAGCGTACAATAAATAGAGCCCGTAAGCAGTCAAAGAATTTTACAGTGACTATAACAGTTCGCTTCGTGATCAGCCACCAAAACAGGTGAAATTCTGCCAGGCCCAAATGAGTAGGGACTGAAAGTACAGGGTCCGGTAATGAGCTTCCAAAACCTTCACGCGGTCCACCTGTTGGAATTTTACTACGTTTGATGATTTTTTGAAGAATGATTCCTAACTGAAACCAGCCTCAGAAATACGTATATTATTGTCGGAATTTTACATTTGTGTTCCTCAAGTGATATTTTAGAAAAGTCACTTAGAGATGGATAAAAATAACGACCTTTCACTTCGGGCAATATCGTTTTTACCGTCTTCTTCCTCATGCGCGTTTGTATTTAAATCATAAGCATTGTGAAAACGAGATCGTACAACGTTGCGAAGATTTACCTACCTGCAGTTGATGGATTCTAGATTCAGTTGAGTTTATCTGTTCTTGTCAGGGTGCACCCACGTAAATAGGCACCAGACCAGAGCCGTCCGCCGAGCTCGTTTAATAAAAGTTATACACTCAAAATATTTTTATTAGAAAGCTGCAAGAGCCATGAAGTTGATGAATTGAAGAAATATTGCGTGGAACCTGTGGTCTGAACCAAGGGCTTCTAATTGTGAGCAATTTGGGTGCAGTCGGTTTAGAAAGTGGCACTATTTTGGTCGTTTTGCAGAGGGATTGTTTTTCAAAATGGCTACTTTTCTGGGAATTTTCTTCATATTAGGGGTGGTCTGCTTCAGGTGAGAATTTCTCAAAACATCATCTGTCAAACCCAAAAAACTGAAAGGAAAATTAAAGGGGAAATGTCGAACATCGTTTTTCTGGGAATCCTGAAAACCTGTGAGAGTTGTGAGTATTTCGAAAATAATTGTGAAGAATGGGCATTTATCACTTTTGTCTGTGGGAATTGTTTCGTTGTGGTGGACCAGTCAGCAACAGTTAAAACCTTAGAATTGTTTGTAAACGCATATAATTCCTTTAAGTTAACTTTAAAATTTCTTTATAAATTTTAATATGTTTGAATTACTTTAGTCTGTTTTCATTTTAGCTGCAACCCTAAGAAACAATAAATTATTTCAAGAAAATGTTCAATAATTTGTATCACCGCGAATAAACGAATAAATAACTTTGCCCCGGAATATTTGGTTCTGGATCTGCCCTTGATTCCAATTCCAATGCTCCAAACAGAATAATACAATTTTGCGCATTGTCATATCCTTGGGCACTGCTCGTCTACGGATTTTGATGACGAGTCAGCCATATTAGATTGAAAGTGGGGTTAATGTATCATTTTTAGGAACCTGCGAGTTAAACTCAGTTATGAAAAAAGTTCATGACAAATCAGTGCCACTTTATAATTCTATGTTAAAATGTGTGATTAATGATATCTGAGTGTCTTAAGCAACATGAGGCTTGGACTCCTTCCTATTTCAACAGATTACATTGAAGAAGATGTTCAGTGAACAAAATAGAAAGCTGCTTACCCGTGAAAAAGATCTATGACTGACACTGTTGGGAAGACTGATCATCTTCTGTCAACGGACAGCTCACATTTGCCGCCAAAATGCCGCTTTACTCAGGAAGACCCATGAGAAACGGAAAGGTCGAAGTATGTATAGTGTCAGTGCCTAGCTCTCGTAATGTGCCTGCTTCAAGTAAACAAACTCAATGCGCCTTTTCATTTTGTGTGTTTGTGGTTGTTCCCTCCGGTATGTGCATTCGTGTACCATTCTGTTTCATCAGTCCGCTATATTTAAATTGAATGAACACATGCGCAAAAGGACCATCACGCGACATGTTGGGAAAACGAGTTTACAGATGGAAAGGCGCGTTGACAGTATAATGTTGATGATCTGGAGCGATATCCACGTACCTTGATGTTTTAAGCGAACTAATTGAGTTTTCATTGCTAAAACTGGTCTTCGGAGTTTGCGCTCTCCTTGCAGGGCGGATGTGGGAATTTTTCCAGGAGGGAGGTGTTGTACACGTCCAGTACTGCATTGCTTTTTTTACGGACGTCCAAAATAACCCTCACAATATGCCTCTTTTGAAAAAAAAAAAGGACTATAATAACCGTTATTTTTTAAAGGTCTATAATCTCGTTTTCTTTTTTGTCTGAGAACAGTAGTAGGAAGAAATGTAGCTGAAGTGCGTGTACCTTGATTCTACTTCATTGAGCTGCAGGACTTTTTTGTGTGTGGTGTATTTTTATTTTCAAATTGAGGCCATGCCCCCCGAGTTTTCAACAACCATTACTGTTTCAATTGTTCAAGGAAAAAAATCACAGAGACGAGTTTGAACGTTGCATTGGTATAGTTGATCGTAGTTTGTAGCTCGGTTTCAAAAGAATGAAATGCAGCTGCTTCTGCGGGCGTGCGTGGAATTTGGAGCCATATATGTATATAGCCTAGTATTCGGACATAATTTGGCAATACACGCATAACGGTCGACTGCATGATGTGGACAGAGGCTGAAGCAAAAATTCCGCCTCGCAAAAATTTCGTTTTGGTTGACTTTGTTGTCTATTCACCTCATTTTTCCCAAGGCAAAAGCCAAATAAGTATTACCTTAATCCAGGTGGTTTCCGACAAAGCAGCGGGCGGGGACGCCAAACATGATTTGTTTTTTTTTTCATTTCGCATTATGCAAGTTCACCAAAGAAGACCCCCGTTTATTACTGTGCCAGTTTTGGCACAGAAGAAAAGATGTCAGGCCGAGTATGGCAGCTTAGCGGTTGCAGAAAGCTTCGGCATGCATTACCCATGCGGCCTTCATGACATGCAATGACTTAAGCACCAGGTCTATCTACACAGTGGTAACTCGTAAAAATACATCGTCCAAAGACAATTTATCGAGTCAAATTTTCTGTGACAACGGCAGGCAGCGAAGGCGGTAGTCTTGGAGACCTTCCGTTACTAACGCGCAACCTACGCCGGCCTGTCGTACCAAAACGAGGACAAGAACCTATTTGTGATACAATTAAAGTGCGGTCATTGACACCGAATAAACCCACAAGGAGAGACGGACATGCAGAATGTAGAAAAAGGGAACTTTATTTTACAAAGGGTCTACATCCAACAACTGGGACGCACACAGTCTGACAAGGAGCAGTTATCCCGTCAGCACGATTCGTACAAACAATTTATGAAGGTCTAAGGAATCAAGATAACCAGTCTGCGCGAGAACCAAAATACAGTACACTGGCGTCATGGTTCGTCTCTGTCTTTGTACAAGGATGGGCGTCTTCTGACCAAATGGTGCTCAAAAAGTTCGATCAGAATAAGAAAAAAAACCTAAAAACAAAACGCGTAATTAAAATGAAAAAAACAAAACAAAACATTTCTCAAGGTTAAAGGCTGTAAATCCTTACATCCACACCAACAACCACGCCCTCTGTGTCCTCTACATTTTCGATTCTGGGAAAGTTTCAGACTACATCGCTAATATACGGTAGATAGTTTCGGTCAATTTAGCAAATGAGCAGCAAATTTAACCCCTGCGCTTTTCCATTTCGCACAAATTCGAATGCTTCTGAAAACGATCATTCGATTTCGTTAAATGACAGAGCAAAAGTGCTAATGCACCAAAAATAGCCATCCAATTTAAGAGAGAAAAAAGTATATCACAAGAGACCTTTTTCCAGGCGTATGTTTACTCATACAAACTTATAAACGAGCAGGCATCTCCGTAGTTTAGACAATGAAAAAATAAGCGTCCACTGAAAGCGTTTATGCCTTTACCATTAAGTGAATGCAGTAGTGTAAACGCAATGCCCAAACATACATAGGCCCTATGCCAGAATGTCTGATTGATGGATGAAAAGCTGGTTTAAAAACAATAGTCACCCAAACAATAACATAAAGGTCTCACAAACGAGAAGACAACCACAGATTAGGTCTTGGTCGCTCAAACAACTGAATCTCTCCCGCTTCAACCCTCCTATGCTAAGATACATTCTTGACACAGTTGTCACATCAGTCAATATCAGTCAAATTTCCCATATGTGTCTGTGCACTGGGGGAAATCAAGTCGAAGGCATTTTTGACTGTTTTTGACGGTTAAAACAGAAGGAGGGTTTTAAAGAAAAGAAGACAGTGATCAGTAGGCCTATATGACTATGGGAAACACCAAAAGCAAAAACAAAACAGAAAAGTCTGACTGACTTTAAGTGAAGATAAACGATGGTTCGAGAAATTGATGTTCACATTTCTTGATCGTGCTTATTTGAATTCTCGTTTAGCAAAACTGATTGCCTCTTTACGAAACTAGAAACAAATAAATCAGGAAACTATCTCCTGTCGAACCAGCTTTGATAACTTAAAAGAACGACGATATGCCAAGTTCAACACTCTGCTAAAGGAATCAGAGTGCCTGGAAATAAAATTGAATGCCTGAATCCTTTTTTTTTTCGAAATGCAGTAAAAACTGGAGAGGCAAAATTGCTTCGAATCAGAAGCACGAAAATTAAACTCACTGCTCATTTGCTGGTTTTGTAAACCTAAATGTTATGTAGGTTGGCATCAACACGAAATACAAGGCTCCGTTCGCTCTTGACCGGCGCTATGAAATTGGTTTAGAGCCCCAGGCAATAGGCCTATAGTACGGCCAACGAAGCACTGTGCTTGCGGAGTATCCTACCCAACCTTGCCCGAGGACGCTAATCCCAAAGTATGGCCTGTTAATTCGGCCATCGGAACAGTTTCCAGGGATAGGGTAAAGGGTTAAAACTGTAAGACTCTGCCAGTGATCCAAATGAGGGGAAGACTGAGTGTTTTCGGCAGGTTCTACCACTGAGCATCGAAGTTGACTCGCAATGTACGATCTTATTGAAAGTGGCCGTACTAAGGAGCTGTGATGTAGCTAAAAAGAAAAGTTGGAATATAATAGACTGCAAATCCACAGTATTCTGGTTTTCCTGCAGGCCAGAATGGTAATCGACTCTGAAAACGTTACTGACAAAGACAAAAAATTGGAAGTAGAAAACAAAGTGCAAAGCAACAAATTAAGAACTTTTGAACAAGCTGTTCAATGACAAATGATCCTTTTCTGCGTACGCATCAATGCCATCAAAGATACTAGAGTCAATATAAGTGGCCATCAAGTGTTGCAGCAACACAGTCGTGAATCGTAAATACAAGATGGCATTTTACTCTGAAAAAATCTGTAGTGAAAAACCAAGACAAGAATGAAAGAGGAGACTACTTAAAAGGTGGCTGGTCCTAAATCTGCAGTGTTGAGTTGGAGCTGTTTTTTAGGGGGAGTAACAGAAATATCGCTTTGCCAAATCCAAAGACACAGATCTAAAAAGCGACCAAAGCTAAACACAATATGTACACGCCTGTTTTTACATCTACAGCTGCCATAAATTTGCATGGAAGATGACGCTAAACTGTACAGTCGCCTTGGGCCGAGATCACCTCCACGCCTGCTAACTTTCTTTAGCAGAGAAATACTGCTCATGATATGCTAAGCCAAAATATGTTGACAATAAGCATAAACAACATGATGCAAGTAAGATGTCAGTGAGGACAGACAATTCGTGTGTGCTTGGCAGTTGTAGACAAAGTTTCCTTACAAAATAATTTCCAATTATTGGAACCTCACTTGAAGTGATAACAATCTCTCCAAAAAGGGAGAGTACAACACACTTTTGACGAACTCCAACAAGCATCAACATAACCCCTGAGGTGCATTTTGGGTGGTCATAACTGCGTAGATCAGTTGTTCCTCTTTGGTGAACCATACACTGCACCATCACATTCCATTCTTGCCCAAGTAAGCCTGAGAGACCAATTCACCAACAGGCACTGATTGCTCCAATTCTCTGCCATAACCACCAAAACACAGCTCTGGTTCGTAAGCCATCAGAACACAACTTTTTTTGTCAAACTCCTTGACCCTGTGGTCAACACTGAAGTGTAAAATATATTTACAGAATCAATGTCTATCAGTACAACTGAAGACTGAGGAACCACCAGAAAGATTGAAATACTTCTTACACAAGTCCTATACCTTTATGACAAACGTACCAGTTCTTCACATAATTCAACGGGTTGAGACTTGAGGAAAATGAAGTGGACAGTTACTCAATTTCTACCGAATTGTCTTTCTCTGACAGCTGAATTAATGCTTAAGCAGTGATCTCAAATGCTACATGTAGCGTTAAAAAGAGGAATACTTATGGGTTTGCAAGTGATGAAAGCCCTGAATATATCTAATGATGCCTTAGGGTATTGTGATCACAAAAACAGAGAACCTACTTTGGTTGTGTGCATTTAAAATTATGTAAACGACACCGCAGACATGGATCATATCATAGTTCCTGGAAACCCAAAGACCTCTGACTGTGGTTCCATTATAGGCTTGGGAAGCAAACTCTGCCCCAGCTCTGCCAAGATGAATGCACTGAAGGCAGATCAGTTGAATCTGTTTTGACAAAAATTCTCAGACATGACGAATTAATGTGACTTGGTATCTGGAGAAATGCGAGATGATGGCTAATGTTAGTTGTCGGCGGCTTTGTCAGGACTGAGACAGATGCTCAGGGTCGAGCATACGTGACCCAACATTCTTTGTGCTTAAATGGCGAGCACATTCTTTGGGCTTGGCAGTCGAGGGTCTGTATCCTCAAGATTAAGTGAGATAAGGTGTGAGAGTTAAGTCAGGCTTTGTTAAGGTCGGGCTGCCCTCATTCCATTACCGATGATGCGGCCCTGCGGCATGGTGTAAGGGTGGTGATTCAGCATCTGTCGCACAGGCAGAGGCGCGGACATGCGTGGGGCCTGGACGTACTGGATAAGCGTCTGCATAGGCTGGGTGTTGGCAGGGGCCAGCGATGGCTGCATGACCTGCTGCTGCTGCTGAAGAGTCTGGCGCAGCGGCTGTGGCTGCTGCTGTTGGAGGTTGGTAGGCTGGTTGAGCTGGGACAAGTGGACTGGCTGGCGGTTTGGGGTTTGGTTCATTGGCTGCTGGATGGTGGGCTGGACATTTGAATGGATCTGCATCGGTACAGGTTGGGATGGCTATGGGAATGAGGGTATGGACAAAACAGATGGAGAAGAGCATAGAAAAAGGATCAGATTAGAAGTGTCGCTTGTTTTTTTTTTGGGGGGGGGTTAGTTACAGTTATGGTAGGCTAAATCACATAAGAGGTTGCAAAACATAAAAATCAAGCGCTTGTGTAAGGCATGCCATGCATGCAAGACACAAAATAAAATGATAAAAAAACAACTACAAAGTAATCAATTAAGAACACAAAATAGAAGTACAAAGTACATGTAGCTATTGACATACATAAGTTATAAAGTGTACATGTACATGTACATGTATGTTGAAGTAACTGTGGAAGTTTTCAAAGGGTTTGAATGGAGATGTCAAGACTCGGTGGGTGAAACTATTAAGAGATTTCAGTCAGTTTGAGCCATCTTCTTCTGCCAAAGACAAGAGAGAACGGTTCCTCTACAACAGAAGACAATAGCAAACTGATCGGAACATTGGGTTCTCGTCGCTTCTTAAACTTTCTTTCCACTCAGTGACTTATACATCTTTCAGAAATATTTCTATGCCTGCAAGAACTTTAACAAACACGGGCACACGATGGCCTAGAACAGGCTCTGGTGACTTGTGACTCAACTTCACAGAGTGGGTCACTTCTACATGTGCATTCCAAAAAATGAGTTCTGGACATTATATCAAAATATGAATTTAAAATGAGTGGGGAAAATGCAATTAGAGTAGGCCCATCTATGGTTGGCAACAAACAGTGAAGTTCCCTAAGATTTGTAATACAAAAAGAACCAAACTGTTACAATAAATCAGTTCAACGAGTCAGAGTTGGGTCTCTTTACTCTCTTGGTAAACACACTGAATTCAAACTACCGATGAGATGGGTGAATAGAGCTTCTCATGTCATAAACGTGACCTGCTCTGCAAACATGAATATTGAGTCACCAGAGCCACTTTTGAGTTTCACTTTACGTTTGACTGAGGAATTTGAGCCCTTTCTTTTGATGTGTCACTCTGCTTCGCATGATGAAAAAGGATGTTGTGTAGATGTAAAAATGTTGAGGATTCCTATTGCTGAAACGGTGTGCAATATTCTTTCAAAGGCATTTAACTCAAAAGTGGCTCTGGCGACATGTGATTCATTTTTGTAGAGCGGGTCACAAATATTCCCTGTTAACCCTAACTGTGAAATGAAACCAAACCAAAGCAAACGGTAAAACCAAACAGCCAGGGACTTCATGATGCGTTAGGTACACTAAGAAAAAAACCACAGAGCACTTACATGTACGTACGCAGTAACAGAAATGTTAATATGTTACTGGGGGACAAATCATGTCTTGCACTGGAAATTTAAGAAAAGTAAACTTGATGGGAAAAGTCAAAAAAAAAAAAAAGAAGAAGTGGGAACCTCTTCACCATACACCACATGTAAAAATAATGTCCACTTTATGAAATTCAAGACAAAGCAGTAAAAATGCTCAGCCATGTTAGGAGCAAATTCTTTGATACAAAACAAAAACCCTCTCCAAAGCTTCTTCAAAACAAAGCAGAAACCAAATGCTGTAAAGTGGGTTCAGTAGTAACATGCTTAATCTGGGAAAGTCTAAGATAAATTATGCTGACAAAGGGAGAAACAACTCTGAAAAATAAGTGTTGACGGTTCCAATTTCTATGGCAATTTGTCTTTCCATTGGACGTTGGGTTTTCTGGATTGGAGTTGAATTCCAGTGGGTCACAACTCAATCCAAAGTCACAATACAACTTTTGTCTTGGTGAGAGTTCATTTAAATCGACTGTGATACAGAGTGGACAACTTGGAAGTCAATGCAGTGGTCAATGTAATTATCTCTGGCTCACACAATACAAGAATATCTGTATAAATAATGAATAAACTAATGCCCTTATGTACGGATGTGGGGGACTTTGTGGCTGGATTGGAGGTTTCTTTGGAGATGATCTGCCACTGCTGGCTGTCACGGCTTCTGTGGAATGATTTCAAGAAAATCTGTGGCAACAGAAGATTACCTCCAAGAAATCCATGCACTTACGTATAATCTGCCACAGCATCCGGATGATTTTTTAAAAGCAGCCTGGGGCTATCACAGTTCAGAGAATACATCTCACAGATTTTTGGACTGAACCGAATTCTTTACATGAACTGAATGGAGAAATTCAGTGTTGGACTTCCATCAACACACTTCCATCGACACTCCCAGATCCCCTCCACACCACTTGTAGGTTAACTCTGAGGTACATTTCTGCTAATTGCTGGGACAGCAATACTAGCATGCATGACCTCAATAACTCTGCCGTCTTGATCTTACTAAGTGATTCTCAGCTGTGTTCAAACAAGCCAGGCATTCATCCTTCTTCAATCGAATATACCCCTTTTAGAACCCATAAATGCCGGCATGAAATGCAACTTGACGATCGGAAAAAGAAACTAATTAGAAACCTTGGTTCAACCGAATGGCCTCTACGCACCAGTCGTTTTTTTAAATTTCTTAATTAATAAAAAATTTACGGCCATAAATTTGCCGTCAACTCCCATTTTTGCCTACCTCTGTTCATGCTGAACAGCCTAGTTTAGTCGGGGCATGGAGCTATCAAACACAAGGAGTCAGCACATACAGAGATCAGAAGGGTCAATGATGGCCACCGCAAGCCCTGCACGTGCTGCAAGGACAAAACAAATTCCACGCCGCTTACGGGCTACAAGGAATGCTCGAAAAAGGGTGCAGACCACTAATTCAAGTGAGAATTTTTGACCAGCTCATTAGCATTAAAAATGCCCCCACAGTATCTTTGGAAAAAGGAGATTGTTTGGCCCCCAAAATGGTGAGATTGTGTAAAAAAATCCTTGCCAGGATCAA